TACGCCGCCTCAATCCTCTCGTGTCGGTCGCTCGCAACGCGGCGGCCGGCGCAATCAGGCTTCTGGCCGTGGTGGTGGTCGACGTGGGTACACCCCTCCCGCCCCGGGTGAGACATGTCAACTTTGCGGCATCTTGAATCACACGGCCACCACTTGTCGACGACGTTTTGATGCTAATTTTGTTCCTCGACCCCCTGCCGTTCGGTCGGCTGCTTATGCCCAGGCAGTTTCTCCTGCACCGCATTCAGCTAGTTTGTTGCCTCTTCCGTCTTACCCGGAGTCGACTATGTCTCCTCAAGCCCATATGGTGCAGTATGCCCCTTCTGTCACTCCCTGGCATCCGGACACTGGTGCTACCGATCATGTCACGCCAAATTTGTCCTCTCTCAGTACCGCCAATGATTATACTGGTACGGATCATATTTTAGTTGGTAATGGCGATGCTCTATCCATTCAGCATGTTGGTCAATCTGTTGTGCCATCGTTTTCCCGTCCTCTTTATTTGAATCGTGTCTTGCATGCTCCTTCTCTTACTAAGCCTCTGTTATCTGTTCAAAAATTTACTCGTAATAATCACTGTTTCTTTGAATTTTATTCTGACTCTTGTTGTGTCAAGGATCTTTCAACCAAGGAACTCCTCCTCCGCGGTCGGGCTGATAATGGTCTCTATCGCTTAGATCTTCCTGCTCGTGGTTCCTTGTCTCCAGCCGCTTATCTTGTCTCTTTAGGTCAATGGCATGCTCGTTTAGGGCACCCTAATAATGTCACTCTTCGTACTTTGGTTAGGCAGTTTCAACTCCCTCATTCCTCTGTCTCCACGTCCACTGATAAATGTGAGGCGTGCTGTTTAGGGAAGTTGCATAGGGTTAGTTTACCTTCTACTTTTCATCGTAGCTCTAAACCTCTTCATTTAATTCACACTGATGTTTGGGGCCCTGCCCCTATTTTGTCATTCAATGGTCATCGCTACTTTGTGCTTTTTATTGATGACTTCTCTTTATTCACATGGATTTATCCCATTAAGTATAAAAGTGATGTTGTCCATGTTTTCAAGCAATTCAAAGCTCTCGTAGAAAATCAATTTGGCACTACCATTAAAAGTGTTAACTCTGATTGGGGTGGTGAATTTCGTTCTCTCAATTCTTTCTTTAAGGATGTCGGTATTATTCATCGTTTAGCGTGCCCACACACTCATGAGCAGAATGGCACTGCTGAACGCAAAATTCGTCACATTGTCGACATTGGACTTGCTCTCCTTGGCCATTCCAGTACCCCCTTTCGGTTTTGGGATTTTGCTTTTGAAACTGCTGTGTTTTTGATTAATCGCCATCCTAGTAAACCTCTTCAAGGTCACCTACCCTTTACTACACTATATCACCAGCCACCTGATTATACTTTTCTTCGTGTCTTTGGTTGCGCTGTCTATCCTCTTCTTCGCCCTTATAATAAACATAAATTCTCCTTTCGTTCTACTCAGTGTGTCTTTCTTGGTTATTCTCCATCTCATCTTGGTTATCGCTGTTTTGATATGGTCCATAACCGTCTTTATGTTGCTCGTCATGTTGAGTTTGATGAGAAATCTTTCCCTTTAAACGTCCTGTTTCTAGTTCTCCTTCTTCGCTGCCGGAATCTCCTGCTACCCCTTGGTTGCGTGTAACCAGTTCTCCTGGTATGCTTGCGACGTCTTCTGCGTCCTCTTCGTCTCCTTCTAGTACACCAGTTCGTTCCTCTCCTCCTATCCCTCCTGACTCATCATCTCTAGCTAGTTCTCCTGCATCCAGTTCTTCATCATCTGATTCCAGTCCTCCGCCGCCACCTCCTCCTCCTTCTTCCCGTCAGCACTCAATGACACTTCGTCCACAACCCAAGCCCAAGAAAATCTTTGATCCCTCGGCTCATCTTACCTCTGTTTCCCCAGCTTTGCCTACAGCTCCTACATCCTTCACCCAAGCCAAATCCTTTCCTCAGTGGCAGAATTCCATGAAGGATGAAATTTCCGCCCTCCTCAAAAATAACACATGGACTTTAGTTCCTCCTCCTTCCTCCGGTAATGTTGTCGGAAATCGATGGATCTATAAGATTAAGACCCATGCTGATGGCTCCATTGAGCGGTATAAGGCTCGGTTGGTGGCTCGAGGTTTTACTCAGTCTTTTGGGGTTGATTACACTGACACATTTAGTCCGGTTGTTAAGCCGGTCACCATTCGCTCGGTTTTGACTGTTGCCTTGGCTCGTGGATGGTCCATTTCTAAGCTTGATGTCAGTAATGCCTTTCTTAACGGTGTTCTAAGTGAGACTGTGTATATGGTTCAGCCACAGGGGTTTGTTGATCCGGTGCGTCCCCATTATGTGTGTAAACTACATAAGTCATTATATGGTCTTAAGCAAGCTCCTCGGGCCTGGTATTCTCGGTTGGCAGCATTTCTGCTTACCTTGGGTTTTGTGGAGTCTCGTTTTGATCCTTCCCTCTTTGTCTATCGCCGTGGGTCTCAGTTGTGTTTTTTGCTGGTCTATGTGGATGACATTATTCTTACAAGCAGCACTTCTGGTTTGGTCCAGCGTTTTATCTCTTGTCTTGCTAAGGAGTTTTCACTACGGGATCTAGGTCCGTTAAGTTACTTTCTTGGGGTCGAGGTTCGTCGTACTTCCAAGGGTTTGCTTCTCTCTCAGCGCAAGTATGTCACTGATTTGCTACGACTCGCAAATATGCATACTTGCAAACCTATTTCCACTCCTTTGCAGGCTAATGTTGTGTTGTCCTGTTTGGATGGAACTCTGTTGTCTTCTGATGATGCGACTACTTATCGTCGGTTGTGTGGCAGTCTGCAGTATACCACTCTCACTCGTCCAGATATCTCCTTTTGCAGTTAATAAGCTTTGTCAGTTCATGCATCAGCCTCGCACTTCTCATTTTCAGGCTCTCAAACGGGTTCTTCACTATCTTCGTGGTACCGTTGATTGCTGTTTAGTTCTGCATCCTACAGATTTGGGTACTCTTACTGCGTTTAGTGATGCTGACTGGGCTGGTTGTCCGGATGATCGACGTTTTACTACTGGTTTTTTCATTTATTTGGGACCTAATCTCATTGCATGGGCATCTAGGAAGCAGCCCACTGTGGCTCGCTCGTCTACTGAGGCTGAGTTTCGCGCGGTTGCTAATGTTTGTGTTGAACTGCATTGGGTGTGTCATCTGTTGTCCGAGTTAGGCGTTTCTTTACATCGTCCTCCCTCTATTTGGTGTGACAACAGTAGTGCAGTTTTCCTTGCTGTCAATCCTGTGTTCCATGCTCGTACAAGACATGTTGAGTTTGATTTTCACTTTGTTCGAGATCATGTTCGGCGTAAGTTTGTTTCGGTCAATTCTATCTCTGCTGCTGATCAGCTTGCTGACATTCTGACAAAACCCTTGTCCAAAGAGTTATTCTTTCGATTCCGGACAAACTTCGGCTTCTCTCTTCTCCGCCGTAAGTTTGTGGGGGCGTATTGTAATATTTAGTATATTTCCTATTATGTTCTAGTTTAGGGTTTGTTATTGTCTATATATAGTCTGTATATTATGCACAACATATGATGAATTCAATACAATTTCCCTATTCTAAGTGCTGTTAAACTACCTCTAACTAGTGATAAGCACAAAAATGAGATGAATGTGCTCAGGCGTGAGTGCAGGCGTCTGCAAGACAAAAATGATCAAATGACACAAGAACCTAATCAGGCTAAAGGATCTCCTCGTAACAGAAACAACTTGAAGAAGACCTGAGAAAACTGGATATATGATCCTGAACCTTTTGTCTTTTACGTCGATGAAGTTTGGACGATTCAGATGACAGGGAAGATGATGTGATGAAGGTCATACGAACTGTGAAGCAGTGGCAGATTTAGGGTTCCGGCCAAGGCCTCGCCGGCCTCACCCTAAATCACTCAGTATCTATAAACTTTTTCTTTGTTATAATAAGGCTTTTTACCGCTTGATGATTATTGTGTTCTCATGTTACTTGGATTAAGTTTTTTTCTTTAAAAAAAAAATATTTTCATTCTGTCTTAATTATATGGATTAAACTAGTCTAACTTCGAATGTTGGTTATTAATATTATAGGAAATTAAAACAAAAATCTTCATATTATACTAGCAGTAATGATTTTTAATTCATGGAAATGAATAGTCACAAATAACATATTGATATCATCTTGATTTTTGTGGTCTATTAAAAATAAGATGAGAAGAGTTTGAAGTTTATGTTTGTACGAAATAGCCAAGATTAATTTTATGCCTTTCAGGCATCCACACCCTTTAATTTGGTAAAGGATTAAGTTTGATCCCCTTATGCATCTACATTCTTTCTTTTTCTTTTTTTTTTGGGGGGGGGGGGGGGGGGGGCGTGGAGGGTGAAAGGAAAAGTCATCAAATAGGTAGGAGTACTGCGCGAAAATTCCCACCACAAACGGGTTTGAAATTTGAAGTTATGCTTGGAAGAATGATTCTTCTCAATTCTCATTACAAGCAATTGACAAAATTTATGTTTTCTTTCGTAATTTACAAATATTTTTCAAGACAATAAATATTGGCTTCAAAAGAAGTTCACATTAGTTAGCAAATACAGTATGATTAATACTAAAACCAAGCTCGCGTCCGTGGTAAAAGTTAGAAGAGAAACAGAAAAGCACTATTAAGTTTAGAGTGATTAGTTGTAATTTAGAGTGGTTAGTCACGCTGTAAATGACATATAATAAGACATCATCGTAATGTAATAGTAACATATAATTTTTTTTTTTTTACTCTTTCTTATTGTGCCTCAAGAAAATTAAAAGTGATTAGTTGTACAGTATCCGAAAAATCTAATAAAACCCAAAGCTAATTTTTGACATACAATTTGATCGTACGTACCTCCGTTTACACTATTGTTCTTACGATTTGTAAATAACTTCCCGCATTCATCGCTCCTAAAATCTTCTTCTTCTTCTTCAATGTGTTCTTAATCAAATTAATCATCAGGGAAAAAAAAAAAAATTTCCTCCCCTTTCTTGAATTCAGGTTCTTCAACACCAAATACAAAAAGAAAGGGAAAAAAAAGGAGGGGGGAAAAATTACAGTGTTTTTCTTATTGTATAGGAGGGATTAACGATTAGTACCCAAGAAAAAAGATAAGATTGCGAATAGAAAGAGAAAAACAACAAACAAAGAAAAAAAATCAAAAGGAGAAGAAATGGAGGAATCAAGGCAATCGGATTGTAGGGTTCCTGTCATTTCTTCCATATTCTTCATCTGCCTAGCGACCGGAGGTGTGTTTCTGATAATGTACGTTTTCACGCCTTCATTGTCGGCGCCATGGTACCCGATCGCGGCATTCGTCATGATCGGAATTCCGTGGCTTTTCTGGTTGGTCACATACATTTACGCATGCCTTAAAGCCTGTTTTAGAAGGGGTAATCTCAACGAGCGACAAATTTCGAGGCGGAATAATTATTCGAGGAACGCCGCGCCTTCTTCCAAGAACACCGGAAGAAATGCGTCGATTAGCCAACACCGTGATCGTGATCAAGAAGAAGCCGTCGATGATCATCGGAATTCGCCGAAAGACGGAAAACACGTACAATTCGCGGAGGTGGTTGTGATGGGTGCCGGCGATAATGGACGAAATAACCAGGAATCATCATCAGTTACATCTTCTAAAGAGATTGAGATGCCATTAAATGTAGGGGTTTCATCTTCATGATAGGAGGAGGAGGAAGAGGGGAAAAAAAGAAATTTGGGGTAATTAATTCTCTTTTTTCTTGTTTGTACTTATTAATTTTTATTTTACTTTTCTTTCGAAAACTTTGAGGTATATATATAGTTTCTTATTGTTCAATCTCTTGATTTAATTTCAGTATCGGATTATATAGCTCTTGATCATGCATAAGTAGATTCTTGATAAGTCTTTTTTAAGAAGAGATGAATTACAGTTTTATTATCTTAATTATTTGCGGGGATCCTGAAAATGAAACTGGTTAGTGAAGAAGAGAAATTGTAATGTTTGCTTCCTAAAAGGAACAATTGGTAGTTCGTATCTGTTTTTTCTTCGCTTTGATTTTTCTGAGTTCTTTGGGATTTAATTGTTGTTTTTCACTTGAAACAACTATCCCCTAGCTCTTTACATGTTTCCAATAAATTAATTGGCACTCTTCCTGTTGAAACTTGGACTTGCAATTCAAAACAAGTTAGCGATTTATTTATAATTATAAATGAATGAGTGGAGACCATGTAATATATGAGTTCACCATGCGGGACAATATGCATTTTTTACACTTTGATTAGGTCATGCTTACATTTTAACTGCTAGTCAATGAAAAACGCTTCTCTGAGCTAGCTATGGCCTCTGGATATGATCCCCAGAATGTGTTTACGTTCATAACTTTTACTATGTCTGTCCCAGAAAAGAAGTCTTTGTTTGTTGAACTAAAATAAGAAAATAAAAATGACTATTATTTTGAGATAGAAAGTATTTTATAATTGTATCTTATGTAGATTCCTCGTATCAATATATGAAAAAAGTGTTTCATTTTTTCTTTTGTTGAAAAAAAAGGGGATGAACGAAGTACTGGTATTTCTTAAAAAAAGAGTTCTACAAGCTAAGAACATGTATGCTGGAAATGGAATGAAGAAATGGGAATTTCATTCCCGTTCTTAAAAATTCAGCTCATTAAAAGAATTTTAAATTTTCTTTACAATATTTGGAAATGTTCTATGATTGTAATCATTTTTTCATTACGATATTTTTTTTTTTTGCACAGTATGAATTAGGGATCAAAAAATATTGATTATTAATTTTAATGAACTCAAATGTTTTTATACTTCCTCCGTCCTAAAAAAATAATCTACATTAAGAACATGAAGAGGAATCAAGGGATAGGGTTTTTTTTAGTAAAAATAATTATTTTAAATTTTTTAAAATTAATTTAAAGATATTTTAGGAATGATTGATCTAAAATATCATATTAGTACAATTTTGTAATAATACCTCATAATCTTATAATGCAAGGTATTATTATATTTAATCTATTAAGGGGGTGTTTTGTTGATGGGTATTGAAATGAAGGAATGAAATGACTCATAATATTAGTATTTGGTTGGCGGGTTTCAAATTGGTAGGAACAGACTGATTCCTTATTATTTCAGAATCTTCTAAACCCATCAAAAAGTGGGTTTTGATCTGATTCCTGGTTGTGTAACTTTTTTTTTGGTTCAATTCTTTGTTTTTTCATGAAAATTCTATGTTGTATAAAAATTTATTATTATTTATATTAAATAAATAATTTTTCTTAATTTATATAAATCAGGTTTTCTTAAAACTTTTTCTTCATTATGTAACTCCAGTTTTATTTGAAATTTTTTAGTCATATTTAAATTATGACCAACATTGAATGATGTTAAATTTATTAACTTATAATTAGTTTTGAGATTGAATTGCAGAATTTGTTTATTGTATTAGATTTTATATTAAACTATTTATTTTTTAAAAATATAAACTAGATTATTCAAATTGACTGATTAATATAAAAAATTATTAATTTTTAAATTTTTTTTGTTATTAAATTGTTGTACCATTAATTAATTAAAAATAAATATAAAAAATGAAATGATACCTAAACCTTTCATAAACCTAACAACTATTTAGAATGGGTACACTCATAGTAAACCTTTTATTGAACATGGTAATGATGAGAATCCTTATTTTATTACCATACACCGATTCCCTTTCCCTCGCACTTGCACAAGTATAATGTACGTTTCTTCTTCTTCCTTTTTTTTTTTTTTAAAAAAAAACAATTAGTTTATAATAAAACAACTAGATGTAACTCGTGCACTGCACGGGGTAAAAAAATTACAATTTAAATAATATCACATTATAAATAAATGTTTATAGAAAACAAACAAACGATATAGATTTAAAACTGTGTTAAATTAAAATATGTAATACTTGTGGAAAATGAACAACGAAATTAGAAAAGTGTAGATTCCAATATATGCAGTGAATTAGTTTAAATAGTTGAAAATGCGACTTTATTCTGGTAACAAATACAATTAAGTTAAAAAAAGTTTCAATTTCGGATTCTTTGTAAATTGATAATGATTATTTTTTTTAGATATATAGTTTAAAGAATTTTCCCCTTGCGTGTAGATGACACTAATAATATTAGTTATTCAGAATGATGATAAGATTTAGGTCCAACACTTATCCTATAAGATTAATTAATAGTACATATTACTATTGGTAAAAAAAAAAATAGTATGCAACTTCAAGTTTTTTGAAAATACTTTTTTTATAAGCCATAAATATAAGAAAGTACCACATAGGATTAAACGCAATATGACATTAGACATTTATTTTTATTTTTATTCTAAGTCATCCATTTACTCATTCATTTTGCCACGGCTATATTGGTGGGAATATCCATCAATTTTTATTGAAAATATCATTCAGCTCTTTATGTGTGTGTGTATATATATATATATATATATATATATATATATATAATCTCTTATATTGTTTTCAATGATTATCAATATTTTTTTTTAAAAAAGATTGATCATCAACTTAATTTGTTGAGTTGTTTTACCCGATTATTTGTCTAATTTCATTTTGACTATTCATTCTATGTAAACTTTACCCATATTATTTTGTACATGCATATTGCGATAGTTATATAGTAATTGGAAAGACAAAATAAAACACATGGGAAGAATACAAGTTGATTATCTTCACTCAAGATAATATTGTAAGAGTAAAAAGATAACATTTAAACAAAAACTTAAGAGAAAAAGAAAAAAAAAAAGAAAAGAAACTCACTCATTTTACTTTTCCAGGATCAAGGTTATTTATATGCAGACACACATCACTTTTGATGACATCCAAACTTATATTTTAGCATGTTGAATGAGATTCGATCACATTAACAAACAATCCTTGAAGTTGGTAAGAAATGCCTTAAACAGATGGATTAAGATGTGATCCTTGAATTGTAGTTTGAAAATGAATTATACTATCTTTATCCAACAGAGAGAGTTGTAAATATATCTAAGGGTTTCCGGAGATAATGAAACGGGTCCAGAAATAAGGATCGTAGGAGCTCCATAGTCGTATGAAAAAGATGCACCACTTTCTAGAATAATTCCCTTCGATTAGTTTCAGTCTCGAAGTGAAAGCCATACATTTTTCACATGCTCAGGTTTTGACATGGTGAGACCATCTGCTTTTCATTTGTTGAGCCTGTTGGAGATACTGATTGACTTAGCAAAAGGTATATCAGAGCACAATTAAAAGTTCAGAAACCAATTAGTTCTTGAAATCAAAAGTTTTGTTTAGAGTACCAGTTCATATTCAGCATGTATCAGAGCATAGTTCTCCAATGAATGCTAGCAGTAAACTTGTAGGCTCAACGACCAATAAAAAGATACATTCAAAGGCAAGAGGAATTTAAGGACTTCAATGTTGAACAAACTTAAAACGATCAAAAAAATTTGGAATACTTGGGATGTTAATATTTAAGAAGATTTCTCCAGAAAACCAACCTCCTTCATGTCCTCAAAAATAGATTGGACAATTCGGCTCGCATTTGCATCAACGTGGTGAAAGAGGGAGACACCTGCAATATAATAGAAAAAACAACTAAGCAAAAAGAAGTAATAGAAATTTTCTCCCAGCCTTAAATTGATTGCTGATGATCCAGAAAACTATTAGGATGATGATACTTCAAAAATCTTGGCACCAGTAGCAGACATGTGACGATGGTGGCAGCTTGGAAGAGTTTGGAGCAGAAAAAAAAGGAGTGGGAGACTGCCGATACAAAAAAGATCGAAGAAATGAAGGCAGACTAAATTATGTTTATATATTGATTAAATTTACTAACATAGAGGTTCATTTGATTTCAATTTAAAATCACCAGATCTGATGAAGGATTCAACTTCAAATCATTAGTTAGGATTGTAATCTTCTTTCGATAATTTTTTACTTAATCAAAAGACATAACAAATTCCAATTGTTTTTTTAATTGAAGATATAATTTTTTCCTTTTTTAACAAATCAAAAAATTGAGAAAATTGCCAGTCCTATGTGGCAAGTGGAAAATTATCACAGTTTTCTCTCTCTAGGTTTTCTATTATTAAGTTATATAGAAGATTGGTGGATAATAGAGATATCTGTTGTGATACAAATCCAATATATTTTCCTTCCACGAACGTAATTTTTTTTAAAATTATTATTATAAAGGAAAATCATTCGAATTGATTAACTATTTTTAAATCCCGATTGATTCTAGAATTGTGTGCAATATCAATAACACAAACGGAACAGGATTCCTCCCCCTAAACGCAAAAGGAGTATAATAAATAAGATAATCTTTTAATTTAGGACGGAAGAGTATTTATTTAAGAATATAATAAAGTTGCAATTATTTTGAGTGAGTTATATGATTTTCGATGGAAAAAGATAAATAAGAAAACGACCGATCAAAATCAGATGGGAGAAGGGGGCAGCAATTCTATGGGTTTATAAAAAGCCAAAAAGAATAACAACAAGTCACACCAAAATCAATATTGATCAATCTTTCTTCGAAACTCCCAATTCCAGATAAGTAATCGTGATGATGATGATGATGAACACCTTGAGATCCGGTTCCCGGTCGGCCAATCAACTCCGGCAACTAAAACAACTCCTCAACCGTCACTCCACCACCTCCTCCTCCCATGCCCGACGAGCGATCTCCACCGCTCGCGCTCCTCCCTCTTTCCTCAGGCAGCACTCCATCGTGCTCCCCGATCACCTCTCGCCACGTCATCCAATTAAAATCCAGCCTTCTTATGTTACCGCTTTCCGTCACCTACACACCGGAGGTGGTGATTTCGGAGAGAGATACGAAAACCAGGCTCCAAAAACTCAATCCTCGTCGTCATCGTCGACGACAAAGGCACAAGAACCAGAAAGACTAGCACATGTAGTTGTTTCAGAGATCGCATTGACTTTGATTGACGAGATTCTTAAGTTTAAGCCAATCCGAAAGGCGGAAGGGAAAAGGCTAACAGACGCGATTAATGAAAACTGCTTGGACCAGCTTAGACAGGAAGAATTTTTTGCAAAGTTGGAACAAATCTTAGAGGCAAAAAGAGAAAGGCTAATGATTAATATAGTTGATAATTCAAAGGTTCATGGAGACGAATCAGAACTTGTGGCACACGCATTTGCAGCCACAAAAATAACCATAGCATTAAAAGCGGTTCAGAAGATAAAGGAGCATTTCCCGCCGTCGCCCGAGGCAGAAGAAGCAAAAAGGCTAACAAATAAAATTGTTTCAGAGGTTGCAGAGGAATTAATTGATGGCCGTGCTAAGGTTGACAAAACCGTAATGGCGGAAGTAGCAAGGGTAGGTAAAGAAATTGCTGAAGAATTGGACAATATTAGCGGGGAAGAAGATATTGTAAAGGTTGAACAAATCTTAACGATAGAACGAGAAAGGTTAATGAATAATATACTTGCTAATTCAAAGGTTGACGGAGACGAAACACGACTTATAGGACAAGGAATCACGGCCAAACTAATATCCATGCGATCAAAAACGCTTAAGAATGTTAAGGAGAAGCATATCCCGGCGGTGCCGGAGGATATCAATTTGAAAATTCAGAAAGTTGCGAGTAGGCGAGCAAGATTGATCGAGTTCGTGCCGCAGGAAAAAGCATTTGTTGTTGAGCGATCTGGAAAATACTGGAAGACATTGGAATCAGGAACTCGTCACTTTTTAAATCCTTTCACAGACAGAATAGCGTATGAATATAGCTTGGAACAATTTGGCATAAGCTTTCCCCGACAGATTGTGGCCACTAAAGGCAATTTCCATTTCGGCGTCGATGGACGTTTCGGAGTCCGGGTTGTGAACCCTAAGTTGGCGTCGTATGGAGTTGACAACCCCACACTTTCCGTGATTCAAACTGCAAAATCAAAGATGCGAATCGAGTTCTCGAAAATTACAATGCACGAATTTACCCACCAGAGGGACACACTTTTGGAGAACATAACAAAAGCAACTAATGACGTGGCCAAGGATTGGGGAATGGAGTGCGTTGTGTTCCAAGTTTACATACCAAAATAGGGCTCGGATCTGTTGAGGGCAGAAAAGGAGCAACAAGGGAAGAAATTATAAGAAACTAAACCGCGATTTATTCTGAAATTATACTTGATTAGAATTAATAATATAAGAATTTTGCTTATTTAGTCGTTTAATTTGTAACTTGGTTTGGTACGGCTTTTTTTTTTTTATAGATTGTATTGGTCGCGCGTCTTTGTGTGGCAGGGGTTTGAGACGAGTCTATATATACAGGATATGGTTTTTCATCTTAGCTTTCATTTTGTTTATGATAAATTAATGATACTCCCTCTGTTCCAAAACAGTATTGTCCAGTTTAGATTTAGGGCATTCACAGCAATGGTTTAATTGCTGTTGAATGTCAGTAGAAAAAAGGAGGTATCCATTACAAGTCGTGTAATTTTGTCAGGTGTTTAATATATTTCAATCGGTTGAATCTGGCAAAATGTGAGGCAACGTGGAGCCCATCACATGGGCAGCCACTATTTTTCTTTTTTCTTTTTCGATTTTTTTTCGCTGAGACCCACGAATGGTCAGGTACCATACGTATTCTTTCTTTTTGTTTTTTGCCTTATTTTGTTTCCTTTTTTTTTGGTAATTCGTTTTTTTTTTTTTTTAAATATTGGTATCAACCTGCAAAACCCATTTCATGTTTTGATTTTTTTTTCCTTAAATCTGCCCGTTTTGTCGTCTTCAACATCAAAAACAAAATTTCTTTATTTTTGTGACCGTTATAAGCCCTTTTTTTTTTTGTCTTCTTCACAGCATCTCCAAAAAAAAATTTCTTCATTTTGGTTGTCAAATTTGTGGCTGTAGAAATTTTTTGAACGTTGAAAAAACTAGCCGTTTCTAAATGTTTGCACTATAATTTGATAATTTTTTTAAGAGAATAATTTAAGATTTTGCCTATAAATACCCCCAATATTGATTTTCATAACACACCACTTTCTCTATTTTTCCTCTCTTCTATACTTATAGATCTTTCTTTACAACACATCAACTATTCAATTTTTTTCTTCTATTTTCTACTACCATGAGCCGAAAAAATAACAAAAATCATCCTACAAACAATGCAAATCCATTCGTGATGTATCAACCGCCCTGTTATTTTTCTCAAATGATTGGAAATAATTTTCCAACGGGATTTACAAATACGGGTTCGTCTTCCGGAATTCTAAGTACAACGGTTTCAACAAGAGGAGACGTTCAGACGATGACTCTCCAAATGCAATGCCAAGGGCATCAACTCCCCAAGATTATTTTCCACAATTTTCAAGTCAATTTGGTTTGGATAATATTTCTTTATTGCAAGCACCATAAAAAGAAAATACTTCAAATTATCAAGGTTGGAGCAAGGAGGAAGACATACTTCTGGCTCGTGCATGGCTCACGGTTTCTAACTGTAGCATTACAGGAAACTACCAAGATATGAAGGAATTTTGGAAGAAGATTACTACCTACTACAATGCAAACTGAGGATCTTTACCACAAAGAGAACAAGGTAAGTTAAAGTCTCATTGGTTTTGGTTTTCAAAGTATGTCAATGAATTTAACCAACACTACAATAGACTATGGAATGAACACCGTAGTGGGTGGAGTGATGATTCTGTAAGGGATGCAGCTCATGAGGTATATTACCAAATTAAGAAAAAACATTTTGTGCATGACCATGTGTGGAAAATTGTGAAAGATGATCCAAAATGGGCAGTTGTTTCTACCGTTGAAGAGCCATCAAAGAGATCAAGAATCAACGAATCTGGATCATACACTTCATCATCAAATGCTGATCGAAATGTTGAAATCAATGAGATCGAAGAGGAGGTTTGCCCAATAGTCCAAAAAGCAGCCAAGAAAGGAAAACGAAAGTCAAAAGAAAAGTGCAAGGCACGGGAGGATGAAGATGAGCTTGTTGAACTTCGACAAAAAATGATGGATTTGGAAGCCAAAAAATTAGAGCAACAAGAATTTTACAATCAGGCGTACATGAGGCATACGGTTACCAAAGAATATGAAATTTTGACGAAGGATACCTCGAATATGACACTAGAACAACGAGCAAGACATGAACTTTTAGTTGAAAAAATCTTGTCTAATTATAGATAGTCATGTTAGGTTATTATTTTGAATTAAGTTATTTTCATTGCGAGTTTTTGGTTTTATTTAAACTAAAATGTAAGAGTTGTGTCACTGTATTTGAATTTTATTACATCATATTATTGTGTTTTAAATGTGAAGTATTATTATGTTTACCGCATCGTATAATTATTATTGTACAACTTATAATTAATTACGTTGATACATTGATAGTGTAGTCACGTCATTCTTTTTTCATTTGTCCATACGTATCACAGTGTAGTCACATCTCTCTTTTTATTTTATCCATTAAATACATTGATAGTGTAGTCACGGCATTCTTTTTTCATTTGTCCATACGTATCACAGTGTAGTCACATCTCTCTTTTTATCTTGTCCATTAAATACATTGATAGTGTAGTCACATCATTCTTTTTTCATTTGTCTATACATACCATAGTGTAGTCACATCTCTCATTATCTTATCCATACATTGGATAATATAGTCAAATCTTTTTTTGATCTTGCTGCAAGTACACTCTATAAATATGGAATGAGACTAGTAACATTGTTCGAGCCTTTTCAACTCTTTGGTATGTATATATTTTGCAACAACTTTTCACACACGACCATGTCTCAAAATTCTCTTCCCAATTTTGATCCCTCTATTTTTGACGATGAAATGAATGATTATATGCGGGAACAAATCTTTGATAACACGGGTCTAGAGGATTTAAGGAGGTTGGATGAGTTGATTGAGCAACGAAGAGGTGCAAGTTCTTCGCGAAGATGATGGCATATCGATTGAGAGCGCGAAATTGGAGAACAAAGATTATTTAATGATTATTTTTCTGACAAGCCAGTATACTCTTCAGCTACTTTCCGTACAAGATTCCGCATGAGGAAAGAATTATTTCTCCGCATTGTACAATCTCTCCAAAATCACTCTGAATACTTTCAACAAAGGCCTGATGCATCAGGTAAAATGGGATTTTCCCCCATTCAAAAATCTACAGCAGCTCTTCGTCAATTAGCATACGGATTACCAGCCGATTGTGTTGATGAATATTTAAGGATGGGTGGAAGTACTGCACTAGAGTGTTTACGATACTTTTGTCATAACGTGATTGAAATTTTTCAGTCACAATATTTGAGAAGACCTAATGATAGTGACGTTCAACGTTTACTTCAAATGCACGATGAACGACATGGTTTTTCAGGTATGCTTGGTAGCATTGATTGCATGCATTGGAAATGGAAAAATTGTCCGGTTGGATGGAGAGGTCGTTTTACTTTTGGTTATCAAGGTTCTCCCACCTTAGTGCTTGAAGCAGTCACATCTGCAGATTTATGGATATGGCATGCATTTTTTGGAATTGCAGGATCTAACAACGACATCAACGTGCTCAACCAATCTCCTCTATTTAACGATGTGTTACACGGGTATGCTCCTGATATTCAATTTACTGTAAATGGTACTCAATACAGCCGATTTAGCTGATGGTATATACCCGGAGTGGGCAACATTTGTGAAAAGTTTTACATCTCCGGTGGATTCTAAGAGAAAACTCTTCAAAAAGGTGCAAGAAGCAGCAAGAAAAGATGTTGAACGAGCATTTGGAGTGCTTCAGTCCCGTTGGAATATTTGACATATTCCATCTCGATTGTGGGACAGAGCATCGCTTAAAGATATAATGTATACTTGTATCATATTACACAATATGATAGTTGAGGACGCGGGAGATGAGGCAACAAACTGGACTGATGACGCGGGGACTCAATTTTTGCATCATAAAGAGTTAATTCCTAATATACAACAATACATTCAAAGGAATGCAGAAATACGCGACCGCAAAGAGACCATCAACTACGATCAGATTTGGTTGAGCACATCTACGAACGTTTTGGAAATGATTTTGATGAAATGTAGTGTTGTTAAATTATTTTTAGATATTTTTAGATTTTCACTATCTCTTTAAACATCGTCTAGTAGTGAAATTTCAATATTGTTATTTTTTAAATTAATTATTGTACTTTATTAATATATTGTTCACTCAATGATTATTAAGCTTTTTTATATTCTTGTGTTATTTAATTATGTTTTTATATTTTTAAAAAAATAATAAAATTTTATAATGTACTCCCTCCGTCCCATAATTATTGTCCACTTTGCCCAAAAAATTTTGTCCCAAAATTATTGTCCAATTTGACTTTTTATGGATCAAGTTACACATTTGTCCTTATTAAAAAACATTATCCATAAAATCTTAGTGGTTAAACAATTACTTATGTAGGGGTATATCCGGTTGTTTAAGGTAAAATATAGTTAAATTTGACCAAAAATAAAATCTTTCATTTTAGTAAAATTGGACAATAATTATGGGACGGAGGGAGTACTTTAGAAGTCATATAAACAAAATAATTATGAAAAATAAATTTAATTATTATTACAAGTAAATGTAATTATTTTTTAGAAAAAGTAAAGTATTAATAGTAGGATAGGTGTGGGGTAATAATAGTGGAGTAATTGTGGGTCCAAAATTATATAGGTAGTGAGCGTAATATTGTTGTAGGAAAAAGTGTATAAAATGAGAGTGTAGTGGAATGCTGACATGGCAGTATAATGTTGTGTTGAATTATATGTATTATTGTTGATGCTCTTAGTATTTTTAGTACTTGCGGCAGAGACTGCAAAGTAGAAAGTGAATATATATATATATATATATATATATATATATAGAAGCTATTCTCGTTAAAGCTCAAGCTACAAAACATGTCTTTTGCATCAGAGAAATCAATAGGAGGAATAGCTATACACAAATCCTATCAAGCACGGAAAACACTTGCACGGAAAACACAAATTCTACTTACATGTCTATTTGCTTGGCATTCCACATCACCTTCTTAATTATTTTTTTCCTTTTACAACCAAAAAATAAATTAAAGATTAAAAGAAGCTTTAATCCTTTTGAATTCTTCTGCAATATTTGTTCGGTCACTACCGTGAAGCAGAATCATCCACATCACGAAGAAGAAACTGATCAAAATCCTTGTAATCTACGAGTTATATGTGCTGTTGTTATAAAGTTGGGGAGAATGCGCACTTTTACACTTTGATTTAGTGCTGATTGCATTTTAGCCGCAAGTCACTGAAGAGGGCTTCTCTGAGCTAGATAGGATCCCCCTAATGTATTTATTTTAAGGACTTCTACTCTTCTCTCTATTCTAAAGAAATATTTCAGTTCATTGAATGAAAACAGTTCAACAAACTGGACTTCTATTCAAGAAAAGGAAGGAGTAGTTCACAATTGCATGTCTTACATGTAGATTTGTTCAAGAATGTAGGAACAAAGTATTTCTTAAAACTAGCGCAACCGGTACTCCGCGCATGCATGGAGTGGTGATTTTGCCCAGTGTGAATGTGTATTATTGTTGATGTATTTGAAGGATTGTATGTATGTTGAAGTGATTCGGTAGAAAAATGGTGGGAGGGAGTTGATTGAAATGTGTTCGTTTATTTAAGGAAGTGGAGTAGCATAGGAATCGTATTTGGTTGAAATCGAGAATACTATCCGTAGATAGACTGTAAATTAAGAAACACAATTAGTTCAAACGTGCATGATACTTGCAAAGTGAAACCAAACGCAAGGCTATGTCCGATATATCTATTTGCAATGTGAGCATCTTGTTTTCTTGGAAATCAGAATGCATAGATGATTCTTGATTCACAGAATATTCAAGAGGAAGGAAAACTTGCTCTGGGACCTTCTGCTAATTAAAGGAGGTACAACTAGTATAAATATCAAATGAAACTACCTTTCTGCCCAAGAAAATTAGCTTGCTTTATGTCAGTCCCGATATTACAGGACCAATCGAAATAGATTTATGCTGTCGTTTCCCACCCCGTCAGAAATATATTCCATCGCTGGGTGCACCCAACTTAGTGGAGAATTTGTTCCAACTGATCTTGCATATCGGGGCTCTTTGTTTCTCCTGAATCTCTGTTTCCTCATAAGCCATAATCATAATTAACCCACCAGAATCAATGAAATACTTTAATGATGGTTAAAGCCTGAAGAAGCGTTGCTTGGAGTGCTCAAATGCATGATTTTTATCTTCTGTTTTCAGGTCACTAATTTATCTTTACATCAAATATCAAAAGCCCGGAAATCACAAAGATAATACAAACCACAAAAATCCTCCCTTATTCTTCTTATAAGCAGAATTGAGTAATAACCACCATTAATTATGCAAAGGAGAGATATAGTCAGGTTAACCTGGCTAATCCTTTGTACTCCCTATGTCCCACAAAAAATAGTGCACTTTAAAATTTAAGATTTACACTAAAAACAGTACAAATCTCAAACTTTAATGTGGACTATCTCTTTTTTGTACAGAGGAGAGACATTCTATTGCTGGGTAAACCCAACTTAGTGGAGCGGCACAGCTTGTTATAGCTAGTTACTCATAAAAATAAGAAGACTCGTATACTAGTTGCGTAATGCAAAACACAAATGCTGAAAACTCTAAACTAGAACTATAATTTAGCCAGTAGCATATGAAATGGTACAAAAAAAGATGGGAGAAAGAAACAATTAATGCTACAAAATTTACATCAATCCATCATGATACAAAATTCCCCACAAAAAAGAGACCAGATAGTGTTTTCATGTCATGGGAGTCAACCTAATGGTTATACTAACAAAAAAAACAAAGGGGTGGGTCAATAGACAAGAAAAGAATATTTACATATTCCAGTTTCCATGAAGATCAAGCAACCTGTCATAAAACGTCATGGCCATCTACTTTTTGATGGTTCTTCAAGTTGAAGAACAACTCAATGTGCATCCAGACGCCCCGGAATCTACTACGAACTATACATCTTTTCCTGAAAAGCGCAAAAAAAAGAGAGCACAAAAGTGCCTGAGAGTCCATTCTAAATTGAAATGATGGGAAAAAAATAACATGAAAAATGTAGACACGGTATGAAATCAAGACAACAACATCATAACATAAAGAGTGAATAGAGAAAGGACTGAAATCATCCCAAGTGATTGCAAAAATGAACACAATTAAATTGTAATATAGTCACATGGTTAAATTCAAGTTACTTCCAAAGAATAGGAACAAAGTACAAGGAGGGGAAGAAAAATTTCAAAACCACCAGAAGTATAATGTTGTCATGCCCATTAAGGAAGGGAGCAGTTCCTGCTCTTCCCCTTGACTACACAAACAATTTAGAATTCCATCGCATGGTTCAAGCATAGCTTCAGATGATTTTCCTTCGTAAAGTAAAAAGCACCAGTGACCCAATTCCTAACTATATGACACTAATGTCTTAATAAGCTAGTGTCACTTGGAAAGGAGCAAATTAAGATTGTTTGACCAGAAAAACTGGGGAGGAGATGACATGCTAATGCTAAGATATCATGCAAAAGTCATCAATGCCTGCCAAGAGCTACATTGTTTTCTAATATCTGAACACAAATTCAACACTTCAAAAACTCAATAACTATTGTCTCATTCAGCAACTTTTATAACAGTAACAATGATCAATCCATATGATATTCCTTGTTCAAAATGTAGAGAACCAAAAAAGGAAGGTCATTGACTACCTGACATTTTACTGGCTGGTTGATCTAGGAAGCAGGTGATATAGGATCCACTTTTGCTATGCTGATAGGTGTCAGTGGCAGTGAAGGAATCACTTCGTTGATCTTTAAAGTTTCAGGTGTCTTCATTGGTTTTGACCCATGCAATGCTGCCTCTATTTGGCCTCTGGATGGATTAGAATAACTTCGAGGAATGACCTCAGGAGGCACCGGAAGGGTGGATGCTGCGGTACGCATCACAAACAAAATCTTTACCGCAGGAAAGTCTTGTCCCTTGGAGATCAAGGGCCCTGAATGAATGATTCGATTTGGAGGCCTGCAGAAGTGAGCAGGGGGCATTGGAAGCTCATTAAGCTCACTAATTTTGGGCAATGACACAAAATTTGGAGAAAGCCGTGAAGATAATTTAACAGTAGAAGACAAGAAAGGCACAGGGTTCCGCAGAAGTGACCCAGAGAATGGATCAGGGTAACTTTTGCCGTTATTGGACCACTAGCAGATAATACAGGCTTGTTTGGCCATGAATTTCTAGTGAGTGGACCAGAGAATTCCCGTGTTTTGGCCTTTTTATTATCAGATCTATGAGAATCGAGGTGGGGGCGGAGAAACCTTATGTTGAATGAGAGAGTACCCGGCTGGATTTTGTATTACCATTGCTCTCTTTTAGTATTGGACCAGAATAATAAGTTTCGTACTTGCTCTGCTACAAAGGGAACGAATGCCACAAGTTAAGGGGAATATTACTCAGGCTAGCTCGTCTCGCTTGGGTTATGCTATCAAGCTTTTTAGAAATCGGAACCTTTGCTTCCTGTGGCGTAGGTAAAACATACGAGTTGAACCTTTGTGATGGTGAATGCCGCATTTGTGCAAATGAAGCATCAAATTTCTTTTCGGGATATATGGGACCGTATTTGCTGCTGATCTTGATTTCTTGGCGGAAAGTAAGAGATTTGTGCTTTAAATTCTATGTAATTTTTCCTACAAATAATGGCACAGGAATGCATCTAGGTGACTTTGGGAAGATATAAAGAATCAAGATTTTTCTTCTCCATTTAGACTTCTAAAATTCCACATCAATGGCAAATAAGGAAACAAAATAAAGCCAAACTGACATATAATTACCTTACCTGTAGCCCTTGAAGCAACTTTAGAGTTCATAACACAATCATAGCCATTCAACCCTCAACCCAGAATCTAAAACAGTAATAATACTTAATTTATACAAAAACAAGTTCATTTTCACACACCATTTGTCCTTAGACGCATTCTATGCTATAAATCATAACAATACCAGCTCTCTCTGAAACTACTTTATGTTTCACTTTATTAGGAACTTCCATGGCAAGGAACCCTTTAGGCTGGCGGCGTTCTCAGAACAGAAATTTAAAATTTTCTTCCAGAGTTAAATTTAACCATTCAAACAAAATCATCCTTTGTTGTATCTTGAAGTTTTCAAGGATGGATTTGGTCACAGCAGAAATTAGCAAACTTAATGCTTACCTCCATTGAGGTTCTTGTACCAGAAACATCTTGGCCTCGTCATTCTGTACATTGTCAAAACTCAATTCACTGTCATCCCGTGATTCAGAGTCAGTCTCCGCATCACCATCATCATCATCATTGTCCTCATAGTCATCATTCCCATCATCTTCAAGCCCATGAAATTGGTAATCTATATGTAGCTCCTTAGCAACAAGCTTGACATGAGGCTCAATTGATTCGAGAGATTTGAGTGCCTTCCTCAAGAAAGATAACTGCTTGAAAACATAAAAAATCATTTCCCTAATCAGCCTAATCTAAATAAGCGCAAGATACTGAAAGTTATCTATCTATAACAGAATCTGAGCCGAATGATGTCTCGCTGCTTGCATTAACAGACTGCAGGATTGTCCTTGCTTCAAAGATTTCATTCGGAAAAAAAAAGTGTTTGCCTCTTCATCATACTCATCTTGAGCAACTTCCAGCTGATGAGGTGAAAGACCCTCGCCCTTGCTACTTTTTATCCTCCCTTTATCTTTTGATCGCTTCACAAGGCCCTCAAATACTTCGCTGAATATTAGACACCAATAGTGAGAACATTAAAGGTTTATGTTAAGATGGAGTTACAAAAAAAAAAAAAAGAAAAGATAAGAAAAGAACGAAAGTAAAGCAATGTATACCTCTTCTCATCACATCGCCTCTTCATTTCCTGCAAAGAAGTGAAGTCATTAACTGTCAATGTAGAAAAGTAGAGAACCATGCAAAAAATCCACACATATTGGTTTATACACCCAAAGATAATTATCACTATAGAATAATGGGGATTATGCTGATCAAACAACTGGAAGTGTAAGCCACTCATAAGAGGAATATGCAGAGAAAAGAGAATTGAAAAACTATTCTCAACATAAAAGAAACATTAATCATCACACCAGCAGAGACTTTAAAAGTTACAGTAACGGCACCACCCACCTCAACTATGCGTAGTTCATTAAGAAGAGACTAGGATGGAATTGTGATTGTTTGAAATATATGGGGGCGCTGGAACATAAGAAAAAAAGGGAAAAGGGGAAAAAAAAAAGAACATTAAAACTGTACCAGAAAAGAGAAGTTCAAAATACTATTAAGAAATTCCCATCTTACATAGCTATCAACAAGTTTCTGTAGTTCTAACTGCACCTTCTCCAGCATCAGTAGAACCCTACCTACAGAAAAGCAGAAAGGCATATAATTCTGACAGATGTAGAGGCAAATGCAAGTGGAAATACTAGGAACCGAAATACAAAAAATAAAAGAGCCATAATCAATATCTTTAGCTACACATGCAAGTATAACAATGAAATTACAACTCAATTTTGTTAAGAGCAAAATTTTCCATTGTTAAATGATTCTTATGTCCTCGTTCATTCAGAAACAAAAGTCAACACTGAGTATGACAACTACTAAATCATTATGAAGCCGAATGAGTGAAAATTGAATTAGAAAAAAAAAGGATGTAAAATATGCTGACCATAGATGGCCATTGTTTAACATAATTAGAATGTAATTGTTGTTTTTAAGCAAAGTGCTTCAGAGTGACATAGTTAAGCTGAAGGTTTCAAACTAACAATTTGAGAATTCAAAAGAGAAGTGCATTTATTGTCCATTCCAGAGAGGCTGATTTGAGTGATACAATGAAAGAGTCTGCTCGGAACTATACTGCAACTTCAGATGACTAAGCTGTAAATTGCTATAAAATATTCCACTAATTAAGGTGACCAAAACACGTGAATTAAGAATCCATGTGCTAGCAAAGTTAAAAATATTAACCTTTTTAGCAGCAGAAGAAAGGGGGAATATTTCATAAGCTAGCAGTGATTTCAAAGAATAAACACTAAAAGAATCATTTGCTTACCACATTCCTCATCATCAGTGAAAGAGTTTTTTTCGAGCAGACAATCCCCCATTTCTCCTAGTGATTCTGAAAATTCTGAAATCACAGAATTAACAAGTACAACTTTTTATTATCAAGCAAGTTGAAACAAGATGGCAAACATTTTCAAATCACAACGAGTATAGCACTGTCAAATCTTCAAAAAACATAAACAAGTTGGAAAAAACAAGATGAAAAAAAAAAAGTATGACAACACAGAGATAAGAAATGAACTACACATTCATATTAACTGCTAAAACATAATGTCAAAAATCAAGTTGTTTAGTGTAAAATTCAAACAAACTTAACTTTCAATTGACATAATCGGAGAATAGATAAGGCTATTTCAGACCAGTCTTCCAAATCAAAATATTACACTTTCAACAACTAAGTTCAACCTTTGCGCACAACTACATCCCACTGAATTCAGACCCATCAAACGGAATTTAATCTTAATCGCTCTAGTAAATGAACTGAATTTACATGAACATTAAGAAACAATTATCCCAGCCCAGCATACGTAAAAACATTGGCCTTCAAGGACATACCTGTGGCATTTGCCAAGCGTCCGGGATATCAAGTCTTGACGCAGGAAAAATCTACAAACAAACAACGAGTTCACCATAAAATTCATTTCTTTGGGAATGCAAAAGAAAAAAAAAAAAAAACAGAGCCATATAATAGCAGTAAAGGGGGAGCAAAAGCAATCCTTTTTAGAAGAGGATTCATCAGACAAATACCAACATTTCTTCAGTAAACTTGAGGTGGATTTTCCATGGATGACGATTGGGTAGAAATTGAAGCCCTGAAACGGTGTTTCTGCTGATGAGGGAGTGTCGGAGCAGTAAATTGGCAGACTTTGAGGGAAGTAGAAGAAGAAGCATCTCCGGCTAGTTAGACTCGAACCCGAATTCTTCCACGTGTTTATCTTCGATCCGCATGACTTTAATGGTGACCCAGTCACTTCCACTGCAACTGATTGCATATTGGAAAAAATTGGAGAAACAAAGTCCCATGTAAATTTGTCCTTCATGATATCCATGTTTGAATAATACAAAATTCCATCAACAGCTAATTGAAAAAAAGAAAAACATGTAGAAATTGAAACTCATTAAATATATGATTTTGATGAATATCAAACCATTTTTGTACTGAAAATATAAGATTTGTTGAGGCGCCCTATTTATGCCGAAAGGGGGGGAGAAGAAACGTACCCTCTGGAAAAAGGAGTTGGGGTAAAAAACCATTTTGCAAGAGGAAAAATTCAGTCATAAAGAGATGAGATGAGAAATTCAGAACCCAAAAGAGCTTTCTGAGGAAAGTTTTTCCACCGATACTTTTACATCTTATTACAAACATTGAAGAAGCATCTTCGGCTAGTTAGAATCGAACCCGAATTCTTCCCCGCTAAACTGGAGAAGGAGAGAAGGCAACGGTTTTTTCTTTTCAGTTTTCACCACTGCTAAATGGGGCTCCGACAGTGCTTACATCAGAAGCATTGGAGATTAATTCCCTCAAGAAAATGTCCTTATTACTGTAAAGGAAGTTGATGATAATGTCCATTAGCCGAGAAACTTCAGCCTGGAACACAAATTTCTCCGCATCAGCTCGGAGGTTCCTCCTGGACATGGACTCCGCTTCCTGCATCATCACCAATTCACCGTACAAAAGTTTTAAAAACCTTCATGCCCCTATAATTTCCAATCAGAGTAAGCTAATTCCACCAATAAACTTCCCTCTTGACGACATTAGAGTCTATAGATAAACCACTAGGAATTCCAGCGATCTTCTCCTCTACCTTAGGCGGATCCACCGGCACATCCGAATCACCTTCCGTATTAGAGTAATTGGAGCTCAGATCTAACAAAACCAATGAATCTCAAGCAAAAAGAAAAAGCAAAGGAGAAGAAGTTGTGACATTCATGCTTCCCTTTATATCATTCTCCACACCAAATCTATTTTAGGTTACCGACTCTTCCGTTTTGACAAATTACCAGTACTGACACCGGCCGGTTGGGTATGTGTCCAACACGGTCTAAAGATTTTCGGTTAGGTCAAAGGAATTTCAGATTGTAGAATTCAGAAGGAAAAAAAATAAAAAAGGAGAATCAAAAAGAAAAATCGATTTGGCCAACGCTCTTCGCCGATGTTAAATATGGACGTCTCTTCGCCGGAATTATGGGTCAACGCTCAAATCTGGCCGGATTCTAACAAAACCAATGAATCTCAAGCAAAAAAGAAAAAAAAAACTCGAAGCTCAGATATGGAAAAATCAGATGAGCCAAGAGATGCTTAGACCGCCATGGCTGCAAAATCTGGTTGCTTCAATAGTGCCATCCGGGTTGCCAAGCCAACATACAGTCAATTTACATGACGAAGCATGGATTTGTACTGCGCTTAGGATGGGCGGCGATGATGACCTAGGCGGCGGCGAACGGCGTAAAACCTGCAAGACAGAGCCTCGGGTGTCTCCCGAGGGTAGACGCTCCGATGTTTAAGTCAGTAAAGGAATAAAGATAATAGAGAGAGAAGGATGTGTATCGTGTGTAGAAGGTGTAGAAAATAGGTAGAAGATATCAATTATGGGAGAGGCACCACCTCTTTATATAGAGGTGGTGTTACCTGTTTCTTGAAACCCTAACGGAATAGGTTTAGGCGGTGGCTTAATCTCCAAGTAATCTAATCCTAGGCCCAATAGACCTAGGGTTACTTTATGACTCGTCAAGTGCCCCTAGCAAGCCATATTCTCAAGACTTGATGAGAAGGATATGGGTTGCTACAAGTGTTGATGTCTTCTCGAGTTTCGTGGTGTTGCCCCAGTTCTCGAACTCTTTCGTTCTCGAGTATCACCTATATAAGATAAAGATAATAAAATGCCTAGAGGAGATCTTTGTGTTAGCGAGTTCCTTATTAGAAGGGGGAAGCCTGTTTATGCCGAATTATAAGGATGGCGCCTAGATTCTCTTATTTGAAGGGGATAAGCCTAGTTTCTCTTATTTGAAAGGGAGAAGCCTATTTTCTCTTATTTGAAGGGGAGAAGCCTTTTTTCTCTTATTTGAAGGGGAGAAGCCTTTATTGCCTGTCGTGCAGGTCTTTCGTCGATATGCAATTTCACTCGATCTCGAGATAAATTAATTATTCGAGAAAGTGTTACCTCGATTCCGAGAAGGTAGTTGTTGAGTAGATAAAAGTCGAGATACGTCTTCTCGAACACTTCGAGTAGTAGTAAGGTGCTCGAGGGATGCTTGCCCCTTCGAGGAGATGTATCTCTCGAAACTTCAATCTTTGAAGTTGCCCCTTGCTAATTGTTCTTCTCGATCAGCTGTGGAGCAAATGCAGCTCCTCGATTATCTGTGCCATCGAAAGCTTCTTTGTGCTACTTGTCGGCTGACGTCTTCTTGGCCAAACAAAGATAATTTTTTGCGTGATCTTCTAGTTGCAAAATCGGAGCAACGACTTACACCGTGGCTGCGAAAGATACAAAAGATTCCATACTTCGCTAAGAAATTTATTTGGTTGTAAGGACCAAACAAATCGGTCCCACTGGGCATGCCACTTGACGAAGCATGGATTTGTACGACGCTTAGGACGGGCGGCGATGATGACCTAGGCGGCGACGAACGGCCTAAAACCTACAAGACAGAGCCTCGGGTGTCTCCCGAGGGTAGACGCTCCGATGCTTAAGTCAGTAAAGGAATAGAGATAATAGAGAGAGAAGGATGTGTATCGTGTGTAGAAGGTGTAGAAAATAGGTAGAAGATATCAATTATGCGAGAGGCACCACCTCTTTATATAGAGGTGGTGTTACCTGTTTCCTGAAACCCTAACGGAATAGGTTTAGGCGGTGGCTTAATCTCTAAGTAATCTAATCCTAGGCCAAATAGGCCTAGGGTTAATTTATGACTCGTCATTACACCTCAATGACTAATCCCCTAGTTTCAGATCCACAAACATCATCATCACAGATTTTCTGATATTCATAGTCATCGATTTATTTTTCTTCAGAGCGGCTATAGAAGAGGATGAAGAAAACATGAAAGAAGAGGAGAGAGAAGAGTTGGGCACAAAATGATACTAAGTTGTTTTTTAGTGAATCAACAAAGCACGTGGTCGGGACAAAATAGCTATGTGCAATGAAATTCATTGTATTGGGACTGAATTCTATTCACAATTGATTTTGCGTTAGGAAGAAGCACATGGGGACACTATTCAACACATTTGTCATATTTCCCGGATCTTTCCCACAATATCCAAGTACCAGCCATAATTACACTTGAAACCAACCATGAGACTGGTAATTACTGCTATTACAAGGGGCAAAATTGGAACTCCGCCACAAACCCACATAATCCGACACCTTTTTAGGCACACACTTTGCCTCGCTATCAGATCCGTTATATTTTCCGGGTCAACCATCTATATTCCCCCTATTTACACTTCCTGCCAACATAAGCAACCGAAAATTTAGGCACATAGTCAGGGCAAAATCGTCCAATTTTACACACACCAATGCAGATACAGATCAATGAAAGACATACTTAAACAAAGCACGGTTCTTCTTATGAAGAGCTCTAGAACACGTCATCCATCAAGTCTGCCTGCCTCTCAACA